TCCCGGTGACAGCGATCATTGACGGCAAAGATAGGGACCTTGTGATCGTTGCTGGAGGGAGTTTGAGACTGAAAATTGACGGGCGTGACAATTTGTTGTAAATAGTAATTATGTAGTCATTTATTAGTAATTATGTAGTCATTTATTTGTATTTATTTAGTCCGTTACTTGTATATTGGGCCAAGCCCATTAGGTCAAAATTAGGTCAAGAAGTCTCTATAAATAGAGACCTTTATGTACAGATTCAAAAAAAAATCAATAATATTTCATAACCCTTTTTCAAGTTGGTATCAGAGCTCTCGATCCTGAGGGCTCTACTTCCGCGCCTATTGTCTTTTTTTTTTACAAAACCCTAATTTCTTTGCCTCTTGCCGCTATCAGCCGCCACCGGAAAAAATTTTCCGGGGACCTTTTGGACCAAGGGGACTACTGTTGACCTTCTTTTTTTTTTCGTTCTATCATTCTACGCAACGTTCCTCCGCCACAAACGACCCAAACACCTCCGACCGCCTTAAACCAGTTCTGTCTTCACCGTTTAGAACCCTTTCCGGTGACTTTTCAACTGCAACCACCCACAGACAGGTGCGCGCTCACCGGACGACCACACCGGAAAAATTTCAGCCGGAGAAGCCTTGCCACGCGCTCTCACGCGCCGCCTCTTTGTCCGCGAGTGAAGCCCACGCGCAGCTACTTTCTCCGGCGCGTGGAGGCGCGTCCGGCAGTGTTTCTGGACCGGACCACCACCATTCTTCTCGTCTCCTTGTTCTCTTTCTGGATCTGTGTTGTTTTCTCAGATTGGACATCGTTTGGTATTTTTTCCGAATTTTTTGGCTTCTTAGAGCCTTTTTCGTTGACTGTTTTTTGTGCAGTATGGCCTCTTCTCAAAGGAGTTCCTTTACAAAGTTTTATGATGGTGCATCTTCTAAACCTAAGAGAGATGATCGATGGTGTTCTTATTGTAAAAGAACAGGTCATATCAAGGATTTATGCTTTCGCCTCCATGGAAAGCAAACTGTCTTAGAAAAGATGGCAAGGATGCGTGGTCAAGCGCATTTTACTTCCTTTGGAATAACTCCTACACCTAATGAGACCCAACCTGCATTTCGTCTAGATGAGTTAGAACGGCTTCGAACCATCCTTGATTATCTGAGTAAGCCATCTGATACTAGTGCTTTGGTTTTGACTGGTATGAGCCCCAAAACTCATTCTTTCCTTTCTTCATGTAATGATTTTAAACATTCCTGGGTTGTTGATTCTGGTGCTACTGATCATATGGCTTGTTGTGCTGATTCCTTTGCTTCTTATCATCCTACCATTGGAACTCATACTATAGCCATAGCTGATGGCTCACATACATCAGTTGCGGGTTCTGGTGACATAAACTTACAGCAGTCCTTACATCTTAAAGATGCTCTTCATGTTCCTAAACTCTCCACGAATCTTCTTTCTATTCATAAAATTACAAAAGATCTGAATTGTACTGTAACCTTCTTCCCTACCCATTGTGTTTTTCAGGATCTCGCCACGGGGAAGACGATTGGTAGTGCTAAAGAGCAAGGTGGGCTGTACTATCTGGTGTCACAATCTCCTGCAAATAAAGTAACAGATCACATCTTGATGTCTCATGGTCAATCAACTGCTGATTCTTTGATTTGGCTTCATCATAAGCGCTTGGGACATCCTCCATTTGGTTTACTCAAGTCTTTATTTCCGTCATTGTTTTTATCTAAGCCTGTTGAGTCTTTTCATTGTCATGTTTGTGAGTTTGCTAAGCATCATCGTGTGTCTTTTCCTTCTAGTAATACTAAGAGTGTTGAACCTTTTGATCTTATTCATTCTGATGTTTGGGGTCCTTCTAAAGTCCCTCATGCTTCTGGAAATAGATGGTTTGTTTCTTTTATTGATGATTGCACTCGTGTAACTTGGGTTTACTTAATGCATGAAAAGTCTGAGGTACCACATCTGTTCTTTCAATTTTATAAAATGGTTGAGACCCAATTTGGTAGAAAAATCAAGAGACTAAGAACAGATAATGGTACTGAATATGTTAATCACAGTTTTTCCCAATTTATACGAAATCAAGGTATGATTCATGAACTTACATGTGTAGACACCCCTCAACAAAATGGGGTTGCTGAAAGAAAAAATCGTCACCTTCTTGAAGTTGCTCGTGCCTTACTGTTTCAAACACATGTACCCAAATGCTATTGGGGAGATGCCATTCTTACTGCAGCGTTCTTGATCAACCGTCTACCCACTCGGGCTCTTAAATGTGTCTTCCTTGGATATGCTCCTGATAAGAAGGGCTACAAGTGTTATCACCCTGGTAGTCGGAAATTTTTTGTTTCTATGGATGTTACATTTTAGGAATCTGAGTCCTTTTTCCAAGGTCCTCATCTTCAGGGGCAGAATAATTCACTAGAAGACTCATCACCTTCCTTCTTTGAATTTGAATCTTTAGTGTCTACTCCTTCACCTGAGTCAGTGTCTCTTCCTCTTGTTCCTGTTCCCAATGTGTCTATGTCTGATCCTCCTGTGACTGATCCTCCTATGACTGATACACAGCCCACATTGCCTCAGCAGCAACCTCAATCGTCTGAACCACTGGTAAGTCCTGAATCTCATATTTCTGATCATGATACTTCTGATGACTTACCCATTACTACTGATTCTGATGATTTACCCATTGCTCTTAGAAAAGGAAAAAGATCATGTCCTAAGAAATCTTGTTCCTCTTGTACTCAATACCCTATCTCCCATTTTGTTTCCTCTGCTAATCTGTCTGTGCAGCACAAAAGCTTTGTTTCAGCACTAGACTCTATTGCAATCCCAAAATCAGTACATGAAGCCTTGAAAGATGGGAATTGGGCTCAAGCCATGCAAGAGGAGATGAATGCATTGGAGAAAAATAAAACATGGGAGGTTATTGATAGACCTACTGGAAAGAAAGTTGTAGGGTGCAGATGGGTTTATGCCCTGAAATATAATTCTGATGGAACTCTTGAGAGATACAAAGCTCGATTAGTTGCCAAAGGTTACTCTCAAACTTATGGCATTGATTATGAAGAAACATTTGCTCCAGTTGCAAAGATGAATACGGTGAGAATTTTGTTATCCCTTGCTGTCCATTACAATTGGGATATAAACCAATTTGATGTGAAGAATGCTTTCCTCAATGGTGAGTTAGAAGAAGAAGTCTATATGGAAATTCCGCCTGGTTTTGATTCTGTGAAGGGAGAAAATAAAGTTTGTAAATTAAAAAAGGCCTTGTATGGATTGAAGCAGTCACCTCGTGCCTGGTTTGGAAAGTTTACTAAGGTTATGATGACCTTAGGATATAAACAAAGTCAAGGAGATCATACTCTTTTTTTCAAGCACTCCCAAAATGGGAAGCTTACTATGCTCCTTGTATATGTTGATGATATTATTATCACATGTGATGATTTTGTGGAGAGACAGATTCTGCAAACACGGCTTGCCTCCGAGTTTGAAGTCAAAGACCTTGGGAAACTGAGATATTTCCTAGGGATAGAAGTAGCTCATTCGAGCAAAGGAATCTTTATCAGCCAAAGGAAATATGTTCTTGATCTTCTCAAAGAAGCAGGAAAGCTCGGGTGTAAACCGTCTAATACTCCTATTGAGCAGAATCACAAGATGTGCTATGAAGAGGAGAGTCCTCCAGTTGATAAAGGACAATATCAACGACTAGTTGTGAAATTGATATATTTGGCCCATACTAGACCAGACTTAGCTTATGCTGCTAGTGTTGTCAGTCAGTTTATGCACGATCCAAAGGAGAAACATATGCAGGCAGTAGAGAGAATTCTTCAGTATCTGAAAGGTACTCCTGGTAAAGGGTTGTTATTCCGACGTGATGACAATCTATCTTTAGAAGTCTACGCAGATGCTGATTATGCTGGATCCGTGACTGACCGTCGTTCTACCACTGGTTATTGCATGTTTCTTTGTGGTAACTTGGTGACATGGAGAAGTAAGAAACAAGATGTGGTCGCCAGATCAAGTGCAGAAGCTGAATTTCGAGCTATGGCTCAAGGCATTTGTGAGTTACTGTGGCTGAAAATTGTACTTGATGATCTAAAAATAAAATGTGAGGGACCTATGAAGCTGCTATGTGATAATAAGTCCGCTATTTGTATAGCTCATAATCTAGTTCAACATAATCGGACAAAACATATTGAGGTCGACCGCCATTTCATCAAAGAGAAACTTGATAGCAGGTTGATTACCACTCCATACATTCCCACTGGGCGTCAATTAGCTGATCTATTGACAAAGGGGCTTCCTTCAGATAGATTTCAAGAACTTGCTAGCAAGCTGGGAATGATAAATATCTATTCCTCAGCTTGAGGGGGAGTGTTGTAAATAGTAATTATGTAGTCATTTATTAGTAATTATGTAGTCATTTATTTGTATTTATTTAGTCCGTTACTTGTATATTGGATCAAGCCCATTAGGTCAAAATTAGGTCAAGAAGTCTCTATAAATAGAGACCCCTATGTACATATTCAAAAAAAAATCAATAATATTTCATAACCCTTTTTCAAGTCAATTTCTGGAAATAACTTTACTCAGTGGATAGTGGATACATCAGCGAGACACATTGGGGTTCCTTTGGTTAGGCTCTGGATGCCATATTGAATATCAGGACCTGAGAGATATGTGATGAAATCCGTATGTCTTAACTACACAACAAAGGCTCTATTATATAACTAACTGATAGAGTTACAAAGAGATATATATGATGTGGGACTTTGTCCCTCACTAAACTACTCTATACTATTCTATTTACAACAAACCCAAATAAAACTCATCATAAATAAAAGAAGTAAGAAAACTAAAGCATGCTAATTGCATTGTTTCATAGTTATTATTAACTCCTCTCTTGTTTTAGTGTATAGGTGGATCTGAAGTTTGAAGTAGGCTAGCGGTACAAGAGTGGTTTATATTAAAATCTATAGCACTGTTGTTTTCTGTTGTAGATAGCCTTCAATTACGAGAGATTAAGTTGGATAAGGTGCGAGCATGGAAAACTTTTTACAAACTTGGGCAACAAAGAGTGTTGGCTCCACGTTTGCCTTTAGACAAAAGATCAAGAGAACAGATGGCGAGTTTCAGTGAGCATAATGGCATGGAGATGGCAAAAGTGGGGTATGAAATATATGCAGAGGGACCAACCCGAGTTCTGCGAATTTGTGAGATCTTTGATAGTTTCAAGAGAGATACTGTTCTTGATTTGTGTGCAAAAATTCAACTGAGAGTTTCTCAGTTTGCGGTTCACCTACTTGAACATGTAAAACAGGTATTCTTGCTTTTGTTGAGTGCTTGAATCCACCAAAGTCTAATGTCTGTTGATTTTTGTTGAAATTGCACTTGGGATTTCACAGTTTATGCTTGCTAATGTGTGGTGTGAACTTAAATGATTTTTTTTTTAGTTTTGGCACAAAAGACATATATAGCTCCCTTCTTTATCAGATCATAGCATTTCTCAGTTTGTAGTTTGTACGGAATCTTAAGTCCATCCATCTTAAAAAAGAAATAAAATTAAAATGGGAATTTCACATGTATATGTAATCAAGGATTATACATATTATATATCAGTGGCTCAGTTTCAAACACTGCCAGAAGTAGAGTGATTATGATGTTTTCTCGTGTCATGAGCCGTTAGAAAAGGGTGGCAATATTTCCTTTTGTACGTAATAAGTTACTGTATTCAATTCATAATGAAAGCATAGTAGGTATGGTTATGCCTTTTTCTAATTTTTAAGTTCCACTTTTCTTTTCATACTTGCTAGTTGCTACTACTGATATTGTAAGCTACTATTTTGAAGGAGGAAGATGAGAATGAGCACAAAGATTTTACACCAATTGTAGTTGCAAAGCTTGGGAATTTGCATATGATTACTGTTTCTAATAACCACCACAAATATAACCAGTTCAGTGTACAGGTATTAATATTATGAGTAATAATGCTTAATGCAATTGCATGGCTGAACTCTTTATTGCACATATTTTTATATACTTAGTCTAGAAATTTCCAGTTAAGGGCTTTACTGATCACATCTTATTTGTTATTGATCAAGTACATGAATTTGGAGCTTAAGTGGAAGGGAGTTCCTTTTGCATCAATGCTTCGCAGACATCAATTAGATTACAATGACTCAAATGATAGTGTACTGAAAGTTGTTCTTGTTCTACTTACATCCGATTCCAGTGTTAAGCAATTTAGATATTCGTCAATTTTTCTTCAGGTAAAGCTGGAGTCTACCTTTTTCTCCCTTTTGTTTCTTGTGTCCTGGTTCTACTTTCTTTTAATCTTTTTTAGATTATTTGAAGCCTATATTATTCAATTTTACGAAATGAATTTAACTGCTCCATATATGAATTGGTCGTACTCTTGTATGATTTGACATTTTTTGTGTAGCCAATTGATTTGAACCTTGATGAGGAGACATTAATGAAAATTGCTTCATTTTGGAGAACATCTCTTAGTGACTCACCAAGCCAGTTGTTTTACTTTGATCATTTTGAAATCCATCCAATAAAGGTTTCCTTCCTCCTTAATGTCTATCTATCCTTTAGTTTGAATACTTTGTCTTAATTACTATTTCAGAATCTATCTTGTATTTTGTAGATCACCGCAAACTTTATTCCTGGGGAATTGCGTTCAAGTTATAGCTCAGCACAGGAGGCTCTGCGGTCCTTGATTCATAGTGTGGTTAAGGTTTGTTTAGCATACTTTATTGACCTTTTTTTCTCTCTTATAAACCATGATGTATGCTAATGGAATTAGTTATATCCTTATTTTCTCTTTTCAGGTGCCTACTGTTAAAAATATGGTAGTAGAACTGAATGGGGTCCTGATTACCCATGCACTGATAACAATGCGTGAATTAGTTATTAAATGTGCACAACATTATTCATGGTAAGCCTATGATATTCATGCTTTTTAGTTTTGTATTATGGCTGAAATTTGAAGAACTTGTCCAGGTATGCTATGAGAGCCATGTATATTGCTAAAGGAAGCCCCTTGCTTCCGCCAGATTTTGTTTCAATTTTTGATGACCTGGCTTCATCATCTCTTGATGTCTTCTTTGATCCATCCCGTGGGTTGCCGAATCTTCCGAGGTTCACTTTGGGTATGTCATATACTATTGTATAGTTTCGTGTCTGCTCCTACTTCTATTTTCTAATAATTTACACTGTTCGTCTCTTGTCTGTTATCATTTTTTTTTTCTCTGTTATCTACTTGGCATCAACTTCCACTTCGTGCTTTTTCTGTATTTTTCCTTAATAGACTGTGGTGGTTAAATTTCATGAGAATTTAATTGCAACCATTGTTTAAATTTTAGGGAAAATATGAAAAAGGAAGAATTGGAGAAAATATTAATTTGAATGGAAAAAATACTGAACATTATCCCTAAATAAATTTTTATATGGATTTATTCTTATATATAGACCTAGCTAAATAATTACTTTCCTAATATAATGACTAAATTATGGTAATATAATATTTTATAATAATTACAATGATTTAAAAATGATAGAAAATATTGTGTGGGGAAATCTATACGATAGATGTAGAGGACTACATTCCTAGCTTGTCAGGATGATCCTAAGACCTCTCTTTAGGAAGTCATTTAATTAACACATCAGCGGATGAACTTGGTAAGAGACATAAACTTTGTTGATCAGTTCACTGTGTAGCTTCTCCTGACAGTGTAGAGGTTTGGGATTATTTACACTTTGAGGAGACTTTCTCCAATTACAAATCCGTGGTTAAGCCTTTCCTGTTTCACTTGTGGTTATCCCTTTTCTTCCAATGTTAGTGGTAACACTCTGGCTTCTGCAGGTTCCTATTACTTATCTTTATCTTCACCTATAGGCTCCCCCTTAAGAGAAGTCTGGGAGAAGAAAGACTAGGTTTAAAAATAAGTGATATCCATAGAAACAAAAACCTTACGTAAAAAGGGAGAATAAAACTTGTAGCCTCGTTGATTTGAAGAGTAGCCAATAAAGACACACTTAAGGGACTTAGAGTCAAGCTTAGACCTCTGATGCAAGGGAATATGGACAAACACAACACAACCAAACAATTTAGGAGTAAGAGAGGAGATAGATTAAAGGAAGGCAAAGGTTTGAACAAGGCGAGAAATTGGAGATTGAAACTGGAGGACATGGGAAGGCATCTGGTTGATAACATATGAGGCAATAAGGACTGCTTCCCCCCACGAGTATTTAGGAACATGCTAGGTGAACATAAGGGATCGAGCAAATTCAAGAAGATGATGATTTTTTCTCTTGGCTATCCTGTTTGGGATAAATTCTTTCCAAGGGCAGTGTTGCAATTAACGAAGGTCTGGAACTTGTTTTGGACCGTGGCATGGAAACTTTTCTAAGTAAGTTTGGCATCTAATTTTTCCTTGAGAAGATAAACCCACCAAACTTTGGAACGGTCACCATGAATGTGACAAATCACCGAGCACCTGAAATTCTTTTCCATGGGTTAGTCCTTATATATCACTGTGAATTAGAGTAAAGGAGGAAGATGCTTTGTAAGGTCTAGGGGAATATTGAACACGAGAATGTTTTGCAATTTGACCAATATCACACGAAAAAGAATTCAGACTTTTGTTAATAAATAAGTTTGGTAAGAACTTTTCAGGGTAATTGAAAATGGAGTGGCATAACCTACGATGCCACAACATAACATCATTGTTAGAATCTGAAATGAGAAGATGATCATTCTCCACATGGTTCACATCCCCAAAGTAGTAACCTCTCTCCTCTCTAGCAGTGTCAGTCACACTTAAATCTTGTTCTAGAAAGACGCAACCATTCATTGATAATTTAGCAAGACAATTCAACTCAAAAGTCAATTTGCCAATAGAAATGAGATTGCAAGCCAAGGTAGGAACATGTAAAATTGAAGTCAGCAATATGTGCTAGAAGAGTTTGATTGATCCTTTCCAACAATTTGGGAAATGCTTCTATATGTTATTTTTACTCGGGCAGGCTCATAACATGTAGTGTAGGAACAAAATAGTACCTATCCAGTGATCAGATGCCCCAGAATAAACTAACCAACGAGTATTATTGTCAACATGGACTACAATACCTTGTTGAGCCACATTGCTAGCTGCCATAGTGGGTTGTTTCAAGCGCCTTTGAAGTTTCACATACTCAGCCTTGCTAAGGAGTATGTTTCGCTCGAGTCAACTGAGCCACGGGGTTCCTTTCTCTTATTCCTAACTGAGGCCTGATATGCATGACTTTTATTTTGCTTCTCTGGTTTCCAATTTGTTTGTTTTCCATGAAGATCCCAACATTTTTTTGGGTACTTCGGATCGCTAGAGAGGCAGTCAATAGTACCTTTGACAGTCAAGGTAAACACATCATCATTTTCACATTTTTTTTCTCTTCCAGCATAACTCTCCTTCTATTAGCTTCTCTCCACACCTCAGCAAAGGAAGATAAAGGTATTGTCTTAACATTTGCCCTTCTAACCTCATCAAGATCTCGGTAAAGGCTGGCAAGGAATTCATAGATCCGTTCTTTCTCCAAATGCTTCTTGAATTTTACATCACCTTTCAAATCTCCAAGGTCATTGCATTATGAAGGTATAGTCCTAGCCAAGGTTTTTCAGCTCATTAAAATATTGAGTAACGGTCATACGTCTCTGATATAGATCTTTTAACTTGTTTTTCTGTTCAAAGACCTGAAAGATGTTCTCCAAATCTGAAATTTTGTGTGTGATATCATCCCAAATCTCCTTGGCATCAATGAATAGATAAGTTTGACTAATTTTCGATTCCATGGATTTGGTTAGCCAAGTCATCTCCAAGGAGTTATTAATCTCTGAATCCTCATATTTGGAATCATTCTCAACAGGTTTTTTGACTTTTCAGGTGAGATAACCCATCATGCCCTTTAGCCCGGATGATCATCTTGACCAATTGAGACGATTGCATATAGTTCTTACCATTGAACCGATAACTAATAAATAATATTTTGTATAGCCAAATTCTCTCCAAAGGATTGGATATTGCGGGAAGATGATGATGCAAAAAATTTCAAGAATGACGCTTCTATAGAAGAGTGAGATTGGCGTGATGCCCTAGAAATCAAATAGCTCTAACTTAGTTGTGACATCTGAGTCAAGAAAAGGAGGAGCCGACGAACCAAACGACACACACAACGCGATGAAGAAAACATTCGGCTTGGTGATGTGTGTATTACAAGTGTCGAAGGGTCACTGTGAGTGTGGAGGCGCATCTGGGCGAGTGGGATGGTTTCCGGTGACGGTGCTTGTGTGATGGCCGGAAATTACCATATGAGGTGGCTTGTGGTCTCACTTCACCAATCGAAGCTTCGTTGATGTAAAATTTCATTCTTCTCATTGGCTAGAATAACGCTCATGTCCGTCTCCATTTGCCAACCTCTCGATTTTCTACACGTGCAAATTATGCACCACCTTCTGGTCTTTCCCCATCTTTAGGAGATTCAGTATCAACATGAACTGAGTTATTTTCTTTTCAACGATATTTCCTTGAACTGTGTGTGTGTAGACTTGGATGAACAAATAGATATGTGGGAGGGTTACTTATTTCTCAATTAATTTTGGGCTTTAAACTTCTGCAGTGACATGTAATCCAATGTTGATGTGCAGATAGATAGTTACTTATACTATTTAAATATGACGTTAGGACATGTAATCCAATGTTGTTTCTACTAATTATTTGTATTATTTTTTTGTGCTTTGCTGTTGATCAGGTACTTTCAAATTTATAAGTAAATGCATCAAAGGTGAAGGTTTTTCGGGTACAAAACGCTACTTTGGTGATTTAGGGAAAACTGTAAGTTAGCTCTTTGTTGTCTATCAAATTTTCATTGAATAACAATTATGATCATGGAGTGTCATCTTACTAATCAATTTATGATGGTCAGCAGTTGAGATCAGCTGGTTCCAATATAGCTTTTGCAGCTGTAGCTGAAATATCAGACTCCGTTCTGAAAGGTGCAGAGGCAAATGGTTTCAATGGATTGGTACTGAATTACCAACTTTTGTTTATTAATTTCTATACTTTCAGTTTGGAAGGTACTTATTCTGTGTTTTATTATTAATTTTTGGGCATTTGCATTTTTAACATTTAATTTTCAAGGTGAGTGGCTTTCACCAAGGAATTTTAAAATTGGCTATGGAACCATCAGTTCTGGGAACTGCATTGATGGAAGGTGGCCCTGATAAAAAGATATTGCTTGATCGAAGTCCTGGAGTTGATGAGGTATTGCATAATATTTTGTTGCATCTATGGTATATTAAGATTAATTTTAATTACATTGAAAATCTCTATATTTCATTGGATGTATGTTTGAACCAAAGAATATCTCTTGATTCTTTTGTTATTGTAAAAAATCAATTCAACTCAAAAGCTTAAGCTAGTGGGTGAGGGCTTTTTAATGGTTTATACTATTTTCTAACATACCTCCTCACACGAGAGCCCACTGGGCTTGAAGGGTGGACAATGCACAGACCCACCTACCTGTGCTAAGAAAATTCCACAAGAGAAAATGGGGGGCGTTGAGGATTGAATCCGTGACACCAAGGCTCTGATACCGTGTAAAGAACCAATTCAACCCAAAAGCTTAAGTTGTTGGGTGAGAGTTTTTTAATGGTTTATACAATTCTCTAACAATATAAAACAAAATTATTTCAATACCTTTTCACATATTGTGCCTTAATGTTAGTGTTAGAATAGATATGATTAGATATGATTAGATTACTTCCTATCTATAAATATTCCTTTGGATTAGTTCTGGGCTTCTCTCTTAAGCCCATTAGATATGACTAGATATGATTAGATATGATTAGATTACTTCCTATCTGTAAATATTCCTTTGGATTAGTTCTGGACTTCTCACTTAAGCCCATTAGGGTCTCTATATATTGTAACTCTTTGTATCAGATTAATACAACAACATATTATTTTATATCAAGTTGGTATCAGAGCTCTTTTGTTCTGGGGATCCTCGCTTCCGTTTAAAACCTTGTTTTTGCTTTAAAACCTAAGCCCACTGCTTAGGAGTCCTCTTTCTTTGCCGTGCGTCCTTCTGGAAAACCATCTAGGGGTGTAAGCCCCTTCCGAGTAATTTCCAAACGCGTTAGCACCTCCAACGGCCATCGGAACCACCGTCCGCCACTGTTCTGGCCGCCGGAGAAGTTTTCCGGCGAGTTTTCAGCCCAGACCACACGCGATCAAGACCGTCTCCTCCCGGCGACCAAGTCTGTGGAGGTCCGACCACCGTCGCGTCAGCCACGCGCCTCCACGCGCTGCCCGTCTCCTCTGCGCGTGGTGCTCACACGCCACCTTCAACCGGCATGTGTGCACTGTTCCGGTATCCTTTTCCAGTCGGTCTTAGATAGAGAAGCTCGCCTCCTCCTCCTCTTTCCAGATCTGTGGTTGGTTCTCTGTGGGTCTGACTTTTTGTGCGCACCTCTTCTTGATCGGTCATCAGGTTCATTCCTATTTATTCGGTTTATACCTTTGTGATTTAATATAATGGCAGCAACTTCTCCTGTTCATTCGGAGGTCAGTTCTCCCTCTCCTCCTGTCAAAAGTTCTCCCAATATCATCTCCACCAATGTTGGGCTCATTACCTCTTCAAAGTTGAAGGGTTCTGTTAATTACAAGAACTAGGCCACCTCTGTTCGAGTTTGGTTCTTTGGACAGGGATATGGGAACCATCTGACGGCTAAATCTACTGATGTTCCTAAGGAGGAAAAATCTGATTGGGAAAAGATTGACAACCAACTTCTGAGTATCCTTTGGCAGTCTATTGATCCAGTCGTCTTGGACATCTTCTATTCTTTTCAAACTTGCACTGAGGTGTGGGAGGAAGCAAAACACCTCTACACTAATGATGTTCAGCAGCTCCATTTCATCATGTCTCAGTTTATGGAACTGAGCAAAACATCTGACATTCAGATGGAGACATATGTTGGCAAAAGTCGATCTTTGATGCAGGCATATTTGGATATGTTGCCTTACTTTACTAATGCTTCTGCATATCAGAAACAGGCGGAACATTTCTTTATGGTTGCCACACTTTCTGGTCTCCCCGAAGAGTATGATAATGTCCGGGATACTATCTTGACTAGTGGGGATCCTGATCTATCAATGACGTATCAGCGTCTTCTAAATCTTAACAAGAAATTTGCTCCTGCATCGTCCATTGCTATTGATTCCACTGCTGTTGATTCTTCCCTTCCGGCTTCTTCACCAGAGGCTCTTCCCATTGCTCAAAGAAAAGGTACACGTACTACTCGTAACCCTTATCCTCTTTATAGTTTTTTGAGCTATGACCGTCTTTCTCCACCTCATTTCACCTTTGTTTTTAGTCTTTCTTCTGTTTCTATTCCTATAACCACAGGTGAAGCACTTTCCCATCCAGGGTGCCGCCAAGCAATGCTTGATGAGATGACTGCACTTCATTCCAATGGCACTTGGGACCTTGTTTATGCTCCTCCAGAAAAGTCTATAGTTGGTTGTCGCTGGGTTTTTACTGTGAAAGTTGGACCTGATGGCCATGTTGATCGACTCAAGGCACGCCTAGTTGCAGAGGGTTTTACTCAAACCTTCGGCCTTGATTATAGCGATACATTGCTCTCTTCCGGAAATTTTTTTGCCGAAATTCAAACTCAGTTGCATGCAGGAATTGCTTGAGGCTATAGAAAGACTTATGTGCAGTCTTGAGCTCTTGACCCTACTCCCGTTGAGCATAAACCTTGGTGTTGGCTCTATATATAGGCTTCTTCCTTTAAGTCACCATGAAGAAATGTATTGTTAATGTCCAATTGTTGTAGAGGCTAGTGATTCATGGCCATGGGTAGGAACTGAATAGAAGCTATTTTAGCAACTGCAGAGAATTTGTTGCTGTAATCAAGTTCAAAAAATTGAGTGTAGCCTTTAGCAACTAGTTTGTTTTTTGCTGATTGGTTGAAAAAAAATTAAAGTTGGAGACTCCGAAAGTGCCAAATAAATTTGTTAAAATTATATGGTTTTAGATAGGGAAGGAGGAAAGCAGAGAACAAGACTTTTAATTGTTGAGATATGTAGTCCCACACTGGTTGAATGAGCAACTAATGTGGAGTTTATAAGGCCTTGGGCACTCCCACCTCTTGAGCTAGCTTTTGGGATGGTGTATCCCAAGGTTCTTTACATGGTATCAGAGCCTCGCCGCCCCCCACTTTCTCTTGTGGCGTTTCTTAGCACAGGTAGGTGGGCCTGTTGCATTGTCCACTCTTCAAGCCCAATGAGCTCTTGTGTGAGGGGGCGTGTTGAGATATATAGTCCCACATTGGTTGAATGAGCAACTAATGTGGAGTTTATAAGGCCTTGGGCACTCCCACCTCTTGAGCTAGCTTTTGGGGTGGTGTATCCCAAGGTTCTTTACATTAATAATTTTCTGTGTGTATGTTGATGTGATACAAAAGGCAACACATTAACCCCTATTAACAGTAATATTAGACTCCTAATCCTAATTAAATGAAGAAAAAAATGAAATATGAAAATACTCCTATGAGATATCTAAGACACTATTTATTCTAAGATACATTAAAAGATATTATGAGATATTTTCTAGTTATTCTAACCTCCTTTAAGTTAAAGTATACTATGCTTTAAACTTGTTACAAATTAATTCTTTAAAAAGAAAAACAACATAAAATAAAGTAGTCTCCATATAACATGGTAGGAAAGGAAACTCGGGGCCTGGAGATGCTCTAGAGAGATGAGCCAAACCTTGGCATATCACTCTTTGCATATTTTAATTATCCCACCACTTGGTGGTTGTAGAGTATAAACTCATATGTCAAGCCTCTCAATATATCATTAGACCATGCGGCAAACTAAAATTGATTGCTCTGTGCACCTCACTCACCAAGACCCTTGATGAGTCACACTCAAATCGGTGCCCTCATGGGACTTCCAAGAGTCAACATTCTTAGGATCTGTTAGAATAGTTGTAAAAATAGTTCAGTATATATATAGTCCCACATCGTATGAGATCAACCTATTAGGTCTTTTAGTCTCTTTAAATAGAGAGCTCTTGTACATTGTAATATACTATGTGATTATTCAATATACAATTATTCTTTAATCTTAAGTTGGTATCAGAGCTTTTTCGCTCTGGGGATCCGTTTCCGCTAAAACCCTAAGCCCACTGCTTAGGTGTTCTCTTCTACTTTGTCGTGCATTCTTCCGGCGAGTTTTTCTCTAAGCCGTGTGTCTCTCCGGCTTCTTTCTTCAACTGTCAGAACCACTTCCCGCCGCCAACAACCGCCGCTCGTCACTGTTCAGGCCACCGGAACCACTTCCAGCCGCCAAAAACCGCCGCTCGTCACTGTTCAGGCCACCAGAGCACTGTTCCGGCGAGTTTTCAGCCCAGACTACCTGCGATCAGGACCGTCTCATCCCTGCGACCAGTTCTGTGGTGGTCCGACCACCGTCGTGTCATCCACGCGCCTCCACGCGCCGTTCTTCTCCTCTGCGCGTGGTGCTCACGCGCCACCTTCAACCGGCGCGTGTGCACTGTTCCGGTGGATTTTTCCGGCCGTTCTTGGACAGAACTTCTCGCCTTCTTCTCCTCTTTCTGGATCTGTGCTTGGTTCTTTGTGGGTCTCACTTTAGACGCGTGGTTCTCCTTGATTGGATATCGTTTGCCTTCGTTTACGGCTTTTATATTCTGTTTTTAAATGGCAGCAGCGTCCATTGATCTCTCGGAGGTTAACTCTCCTTGTCCTCCTGTCAAAACTTCCTCAGGAATCATCTCTACTAATATTGGGCCCATTACATCTTCCAAACTGAAGGATTCTACCTCTCTTGCTGCGAATATAGCTCAGTCAGACAATGCATCATTTGGTTCAGTTTCTCTCTCACTTGCGGACTATGCTGCACTCCAAACTCTTCTCAAGAAGGCTTCTCCTCAGTCTCAACCATATACTGGTAATCCTGTTGCTTGTGTTTCTCATTCTACATCACTTGGCACTTGGATATTTGACTCAGGTGCTACCGATCATCTCTGTGGTAATAAGAAACTTTTTACATCTCTTACTTATTCTGATCATTTACCTTCTTTTACCCTTGCGGATGGAACCAAAGCCCCAGTTCGTGGGATTGGACAAGCTCGTCCGACCTCTACCTTGGCCTTGACATCTGTTTATTACATTCCTGGCATCCCTTATAACTTAATTTCTATTAGTAAGTTGATCCACTCCCTCACTTGCACCATTACTTTCTCTAACCATTCTGTTTCTGTGCAGGATCCGGATACGGGGGAAATGATTGGAGTGGGTCGTGAGTCACGGGGGCTTTACTATCTGGATGTGCCTCGTCCTTCAGTGGCACTCTCTCTCACAGAATCTCCACAACTTATCCACAGTCGCCTCGGTCATCCAAGTCTTTCGAAGTTGCAGAAAATGGTTCCTCTTTTATCCGGTCTTCAGTCTTTAGATTGTGTGTCATGTCAACAAGGGAAGCATACACGTTCCTCTTTTGCCAGTCGAGTCAATAAACGAGCTGATGCCCCTTTTTCTCTTGTTCATTCAGATATCTGGGGTCCAAGTCGTACCTTGTTTGTTTTAGGTTTTCGGTATTTCGTTACCTTTATTGATGATTTTCCCGTTGCACTTGGGTCTATTTAATGAAAAATCGTTCTGAGTTATTTTCCATTTATAAAAAGTTTTATACTGAGATTCATACTCAATTTGGTGTTTCTATTCGTATTCTACGTAGTGATAATGCTAAGGAATATGTTTCTATTGATTTTTCTAATTTCTTGGCCACACAAGGTACTTTACATCAAACTACTTGTCCTCACACTCCACAACAAAATGGGGTGGCTGAACGTAAAAACAGACATCTCATTGAAACTGCACGTACCCTTCTTCTTCATATGCAGGTTCCCCTTCACTTCTGGGCAGATGCTGTACTCATCTCTTGTTTTCTCATCAATCGCATGCCCTCATCTGTGCTCAACAATGACATTCCTCATAACCTATTGCTTCCAGATGTTCCTCTTTATCCTCTAACTCCACATGTCTTTGGTTGTACTTGTTTTGTTCATGATCTCACTCCTGGTAAGGATAAGTTAACATCCAAAGCCTTTCAGTGTATCTTTCTTGGTTATTCTCGTCTTCAAAAGGGTTATCGTTGTTATTCTCCCGATCTTAAGCGTTACTTAGTTTCCGCTGATGTCACTTTTCTTGATCAACAACCCTTTAATTCTATTCCATCTCAGTTGTCACAGGTTGATCATGTTCTTCCTGTCCCTTTTCTTGACTTGTCTTTGCCAGCTGCAGGTGCTTCTATTCCAAATGAGCAACCTATTGCTTCTATACCTGAGGACCGTCCACTTCTCACCTATCAGCGTCGCAAAACTATGCCTCTTGTCGACTCGATTGCTGACTCATCGCCCACTACTGTTGCTTCTTCCTCTCCGGATCCTTCACCAGAGGCTCTTCCCATTGCTCAAAGAAAAGGTACCCGTACTACTCGTAACCCTTATCCTCTTTATACTTTTTTGAGCTATGACCGTCTTTCTTCACCTCATTTCACCTTTGTTTCTAGTCTTTCTTCTATTTCTATTCCTAAGACCACAGGTGAAGCACTTTCCCATCCAGGGTGGCGCCAAGCGATGCTTGATGAGATGACTGCACTTCATTCCAATGGCACTTGGGACCTTGTTTCTGCTCCTCCACAGAAGTCTACAGTTGGTTGTCGCTGGGTGTTTACTGTGAAAGTTGGACCTGATGGCCATGTTGATCGACTCAAGGCCCGCCTAGTTGCAAAGGGTTTTACTCATATTCGGCCTTGATTATAGCGATACATTCTCTCCGGTCGCTAAGATGGCGTCAGTTCGCCTATTTCTTGCTCTTGCTGCTATTCGTCACTGGCCACTCCTTCAACTTGACATCAAAAATGCCTTTCTTCATGGTGATTTACAAGAAGAAGTTTATATGGAGCAACCACCGGGTTTTGTTGCTCAGGGGGAGTCTGGGAAGGTGTGTCGTCTTCGCAAATCCTTATATGGTCTCAAGCAGTCTCCTCGAGCATGGTTCAGTCGCTTCAGTTCTGCTGTTCAGGAGTTTGGCTTAATTCGCAGTAAAGTTGACCACTCTGTGTTTTATAGGATCACATCTCCTGATAAGTGCATCTATTTGTTAGTCTATGTTGATGACATCATCCTCACCGGGAGTGATCAAGTTAGAATTTGTCAGTTAAAACAGTATTTATTCAGTCAATTTCAGACTAAGGACCTCGGAAAGCTGCGTTACTTCTTGGGAATTGAGGTAGCACAATCTAGATAGGGCATTTCTATCTGTCAAAGGAAGTATGCCTTGGATATCCTAGAAGAGACTGGTATGTTGGCGTGTAAGCCAGTTGACACACCCATGGATCCTACTATCAAATTACTACCCGGACAAGGAGAACCATTATCTGATCCTGGACGTTATCGGAGGTTGATTGGGAAGCTCAATTATCTCACTGTGACTAGGCCGGACATTTCTTTTGCTGTTAGTGTCGCTAGTCAGTTTCTTGATTCTCCGTGTGATTCTCATTGGGATGCTGCTGTTAGGATCCTTCGTTACATCAAAGGAGCACCAGGGAAAGGTTTATTATATTCAGATCAGGGAAATACAAAAATTTGTGGTTATTCAGATGCCGATTGGGCAGGATCACCCTCGGATAGGCGCTCTACTTCAGGCTATTGTGTTTTCTTTGGAGGAAACCTGATTTCTTGGAAAAGTAAGAAACAAACTGTTGTTACCCGATCTAGTGCAGAGGCCGAGTATCGTGCAATGGGAGTTGCTACCTGCGAGCTAATCCGGTTAAAGCAGTTGATTCAGGAGCTCCATCTTTGTGAACAGAAAAAACCCATGACTCTCATTTGTGACAATCAAGTTGCACTACATATATCCTCTAATCGTGTATTTCATGAGAGAACCAAACATATAGAGATCGATTGTCATTTCATTCGAGAAAAGATTCAGTCAGGAGAAATCAAAACGGAATTTGTCAACTCCAATGATCAACTCGCGGATGTCTTCACTAAAGCTCTTAGGGGTCCTCGGGTTGAATATATTTGTGGCAAGCTGGGTGCTTACAATATATATGCTCCAGCTTGAGGGGGACTGTTAGAATAGTTGTAAAAATAGTTCAGTATATATATAGTCCCACATCGTATGAGCTCAACCTATTAGGTCTTTTAGTCTCTTTAAATAGAGAGCTCTTGTACATTGTAATACACTATGTGATTATTCAATATACAATTATTCTTTAATCTTAAGTGGATCCAATCCCCAAAGGGAAGCCCATACCATAGACTATTGGCCAAAGAACAAGTAGGCATACCAGCCTTCCGTGCACCCCGTACACAAGGGCCACTCAATGAATCACCCATCAACTGAGTGTCCAATGGAACTCCTCACAGCAACCTCTTCGAATACATCTCCTTCAGGGATAGTCTATAATACACTGATGGCCAATAACCCACACAATCAACCTATTTCCTCAGGTTATATTATCAAACACTTCATCACAACATTCAATATATAAAACATAATTCACATTACTAGGAGGATTCAACTTGATGGGTGGAATGATCAACATGTTGAAGAGTTGTTTGGAATACTGCATGACAAAGGAAGATGAGACTTTAGTAGAAAAATGCTCAATGAAAAATTCCTAGCTGGCGAATATAGAGAGCAAGAACAAAAACTTACTCCAAGTTCAAGAAAAACATTTGGAAGCTCCAAATAGGAAGAAAATGTAAGAGACTAGAGACCTAATAAACTTCGAAATTAAATTGTTAAAGGCTTGTGTGAGTCATAGCCAACATAAGTTACCATTGGAATGATTGTTGATGGGAAGAGATGTCAACACTTGAATGATTCATCCGTGGGGGAAGAAGTCACCACCAGAATGATTGTCGGTGGACAGGGAAGTCATTGCCGGTATGATTAACCACCAGAATGATCATCGTGAGAAGAGACCGGCAGGACTAACACCTTCCAGCTTTCTCCCCTCAATAATGTGCAAGCATTGGAAAAGAGCCAAAAAATAGCCAAAACAATGACAAACTGGAGATAACCACCACAAACTATGCAAAGAAACAGCCCAAACATGTCATTCTTGACAGAGAGAAGGAAAACATATCGGATTCAACCACCAAACATGGAAAAACTGCAACCAAGGGAGCCAAACAGCCATTGGAAGGTGGCATACAGGAGCGAAGGGGGATGAATCTAACTAGAAACGACTAGGGAAGACAATGGGAGGTGAAGGTGGCCGGAAAAGGGGCAACACATGCTCCCACATGCATGAGACTTGTAACAAGATTCTCGTGTAAATTGATGTGATACAAACGACAAAGCGCTAACCCTTATTTTATTTTATTTTTATTTTTTTTCTAGACATTCTAACAAATTTCACGAAGAGGCATGATAATATTAAGGATATTGACTAATTATATTAATGACTTCAGTTTTTCATGTGCATTTATATATTTATGCATAACAAAGGGAATATTTATTCTTTCAGTTCTTCCATCTTGATTTGGTCGTCGGTTACTAATTACATATGTGGCATGCTGCAGTTATACATTGAAGGATATATCCAAGCCATGTTGGATACAGTTTATAGACAAGAATACCTTAGAGTCAGAGTTATTGACAATCAGGTAGTTGTTGAGCTAAATTTACATATAGTTGGACAAGTATGCATGAAAGATTATCTTGCAGGCTAGACATTATCTGGAAAAAATTGCATTTCTTGGCTTGGAGAGAACACTAGTACATTCTTTTGAATGGAACTTCAACAATAGAACCTTGTTTTAAGAATGATGTTCACGTATATGTTGTACCATGATGTAATGGTTTGATTTTAATACCGAAAAGCATAAAAATAGGGAAGTTATTGAACAAAATATTTTAAACTATGCACGAAGGACATCTTCTTAAGGGGGTTTCTGTTTCTGACCTGCATAGAGATTTGCCTGCCATTGTGCATTTCTAACTCTTGCTTTTTGATTTGCTGGTTCTTTGTATTTTCTCTTTTATTAGTTTTATGGTGGAGGACATCTTATATTCCCTATCTCTGTAATTCATTGCTGGCTTAGAGAATTCCTTTTTCTATTAAAAAAATGAAAAGTAAATTATGCCCTTTGCTGTATGGTTGTGATGGAGTCCTCTTCTTATGCATGTTTAGGTTATCCTGAAAAACCTACCTCCAAATCATTCTCTTATCAATGAGATCACGGATCGTGTTAAGGAGTTCCTTGTGAGTAAGGCATTGCTAAAAGGAGATCCCTCAACTACATCCCACCCTTTACGCCGCCTTCGTGGAGAAAGCGTATGTTCTATTCTTGTTAGCTTGCCTCTTTTATCTTATTATTTCAACTTTTTTTTCTCTCTTTAGTATCGCTATGTGACATTACCATCTTTTATCACAGTAATAATTTTTCATGATTATGATGATGGCTCACCTTTATTCTCTACTTTACATTTAACGCATCCTGGTCTCTTCTTATGTGGGTTTATATATCTATGATCTTGTGCTAAAGCTTCCCAAACTAATATTTCTCTTCATGCCTGGAATGCACTAGTTTAGTTTGGAGGTGCTTCAAATTCACACATGATGTTAACGTTGTAAGTTTATTTCATATTGAGTGCTTGACTTGTTTCTGAAAAGGGAAACCGGAATGCTTCTTGATAGACAATCACTACTGGCATAATCTTGAAGTAGTCTTCTCAATTATATATCAAGTCATTGATTCAGGGATATTTGTGGCAGGAATGGAAAATAGGACCAACGGTCTTGACATTGTGCGAACATCTTTTTGTTAGCTTCGCAATACGCATACTGCGAAAGCAGGCTAATAAGTTTATATTCAGCATAAAGTGGAAAAAGCAGTCAGAGGTTGACAGTCATGCAGATGTGCCTGCAAACTCTAATCAAGAAGCGCAGAAAGTGAATTTCATTCGAAAATGGGGCATCGGCAAATTTGTCTTGTCTGGTTTGTTGGCATATATTGACGGGCGTCTGTGTCGTAGTATTCCCAATCCTGTAGCACGAAGAGTAGTTAGTGGTTTTTTATTGAGTTACATTGATCAAAATGTTGATGAATAAATTCTACAATTGTCATTATTTAGGTTAAAAGGAAATAGGATGTAATGGATTAAGTCCCGTTTGTGGCTTGACATGAGCTAGCTCAGCATGTGCATGAGAATATACGTAACATACTTGCATTAGTTTTATGTTCAAATTCAATAGCCTATCTTTCTGTAGTATAAAGCGTCCTACCTCTGGAGGTGTGAGTTCGCTGGTTTCAGATCGAGCAATATGTTTTAATCCATCCTTCTTTTTGGTACATGAGAAAGTTATCATTTTACACGAGTAAGTTATCTCATACTTTTTTCACATTGAAAATTGTGCCACAATTTGTTTTTTAATGGGTGGTGGGCTTCATCATATTATGTCTATAGTAGAAGATATTTATCTCCTATAATATAAGAAAAATAGAATTCATAAATTCAATCATGTTTTTATATGCGTAACTATAGTACTAATAAGGATCTTACTTTATGTATATAAGAAAAAAAGGATCTTACTTTTCCCTAAACTGTACGCAATCGAAACTCTTACCAAATAGTTTCGTCAACTCCATCAATATGAGAAGTATTATAATTTTAGTATTGGAAATTGATGCACGGGAGCATCTTGATGATCTAAATAGGGACCCTGTTTATATGTACTTACATCATTGTATGGACGGAAGTTGATCACCCAGCGAAATGGTATATCTTTTAGTTATGTACTCTATGCTCTTTTTTTCATTCTTCATCTCTAGTCAATGTTTGCGATTGTCATAGAGATGACAAGCATTTCAAACTTCCAATTTTTTAAACGACAAAGTAGGATTTGAAATTTAAAATTATATATATCGTAGCTGTGTTGCTTGCGCTGATGTTAAAATGTAAAGTGCAAGAAGCATAAAGATACGAGGACAGCCCTCGGTTTACTTGAAAACAACTTACCTGCCCATTGTTTTTCTTCTCTGTTGTCACTTTCGAAGAGTTATCAACCATCCTTTCAAGTAACCTTCAATTATAGCTCGTGCACCCTACCTCTATCGTTGTATGTTATCGGATAATTTATTTTCCGTTTTTGACTAATAGATGAGGCTAATCTTAGTTTTCTTCCTCAAATCAATTTTGAAAATGTATACACAAAATATTTACTATGTTGTAGCCACTAGGATTCAAACTTATGTCACGAGGATAACATAACCATGATTCAAAAGTTGCACCTAGTGAGGATCGAGAACCTCTATCATGGAGATAAAAATCATAGTATTTAATCATGAGGCTACATTAGATTGTTAATTAACTTGCACCATTTAAAATATTTATTATGTAATTGAGTATAAAATTTTTATTTTATATATATCCGGGTCATGCGATTCAATCAATGACCTAGTAACTCTGTATCCTGACCAATTCAATTAACAGTTCGGATTTAATAATATTTACTTTTATACTTATACCTTTCTTTTTCACAAATCTTCACATCATTTGTTTCTTATACGCAGTTACTGTAATATAGAAATCTATTAGCATGTTTTTACTTCACATATTAAACTTTTGTGTGCGAATCAATTCATAAAATAATGTTTCAATTTCAATAACTAAGCGATTTAAAATTGAATCGTTACTATTCTCTGTTCTTTCGATAAAATGTTGACAGAAAATAAATAAGTAAAAAATAAGTAAACAGTGCATTGTTGACGGCTTGACGCTTCTAACTCAAAGCAAATGCATCAGTTCTGTAGCAAATTACATAATGAAATATTTGTTCACCATAATTAAGCCACGTGGGGAAAAATGAAAATTTTCATCATGTATATGACACATACCGCTTAACAAAGCCATCTGACTCTCTCTGGTGGTTTCACGGTGTCAATCCTTCTGCCACGCCGCTTTTTGTCGCTTCCCCCGTTTTTCCGGTTGCAACCCTTGTTTGAGAAAAACAACAGGCTCCTCGAAAGAAAGCGAAACCACTTATTACTAGCAAAACTCAAAACCAAAATTTTCATATTAAAAAAAGGTTATTATGTAAACCACTTATTTCCGTTTGTGTCACTATATATATGTGAACCTCCTTTGTCATTTCCATTCTCCAATAGGTTGTAACACCATTCTGATTTTCAAACAAAAAAGATAGAGAAATGGCTTTCACGATTTCTAGAGCTCAATCAGCTTTGCCAGGGAGCGAGAAGGAGAACCTTGATGCCTTACAGTACAAGCTTAAGAACTCTGCAACAGTTGGTGATGGTGGCATCTCAAGCCAGCTCCACTTGAAGTCTTCGTTGTCTTCCGAATCCTCTTCTCAAAACTTGGACAAACATGTTGTCCTCCGACGCATCCGGCAACGCAAGACCTACAACAAAGCCAAAAGCGCAGTTGAAACTCTATTGGGCAACTCAGAAGCCAATACAGCCTCTGCCCAAGAACAACAGTGGCTCCAACATGGTGACATTTTTTCTGCTCCTTAACTATAAAAATAATCACTCCCTACCCACCTATTAAAATAGCCTCAGATGACTCTTATGTCATTATGCTTTGAATACAATGTTCAATTGGTATATTGAGTGTGGAAAAGTACTAAACTTTGCTAGTGTATCTCAGGTTACGAAACCTGTACTACTTCAGTTTGATCCGGCGAATTAATTTTTATTTTGTGCCTCGAGAAATTTGGCTCAAATCTTAAATAGCATCTGCTTCACTTGCAACAAAATCTGTTATGTATAACGTAGCTTTTTGTTCCCTTTGTTTGTTTCATATTTCCGGGAGGAAACTGCAGATAAACCTCTTATTTGGAAAAATCGAATAAGTTTGTTGTTGCTTATAAAATGTAACTAGTGGTAACACCCGTGCTTTTCACGGATTATGAACAAATAACTGCATGATGCATAGAATCTTCAATACTTGACACAAAAAATGTATATCTTATAAACAAATATTAAATATGTTTCAACAAATAAATGTAAAATGTTTAGAATTTTATTAATTAAAAATATGAATATAATTCTGTGAAGCCCTTGATATGATTATCTTAAAGAACAAAAAATAATTGGTACCTGTCCGTTGGACAAGACTACGTATTTTGTCTAGATTAAATAAAGGTAATTTCTCAATTTAGTAATTTGTATATCTGGTTCAATTTTTTATTTATAGTTACATTTTCACCCAAGAAGTATGTATCATAAGAATGATTATAATTTTATACCCATAACTGTGAGTAGCCAGTGTCATGCGCGGGGAAAATAGGAAAATTTTGAAGACTCATCTTTTACGATTTTTAGTAACGTGTTCCTAGAGGATATGTTATCTATTCTCCTAGTGGGCATTTTAAAAAATATATGAATATATAAATAAAATGAAATGATATGCACCCAAAACAAATATAACTATAATTTAATCATTGCATTATAAGAGAATATCTCTATCAAGAGCTGAAGTGATTTAAAATAAGTTTTTCTTTAGTTTTTAGCTTAAAAAAATGTATCATAAAAGCCTCTAAGGAGATGCTTATTGATTCCCTAACCAAGGAACATAAACCCATAGTCTTTATAAAATATGTTGAGAATATGGGTATTGTAAGGTCCTTTGATGTATCTGATTTGAGGGAGTAATTACTTATGTTTGCATTTATTACATTTGACTAACGTAATTTTGACTTGATGAATTTGTGCTCATGTTAAACATTTTATATCATTATAAATGCAATTATTATTGAGCAGTTCTTCTACTGTATTTATCTCAAGATGTATTGGAGTTCATATTTCTAATAAAATGAACTGTTACTTTGTATTGATTCATTAGCATTTCTTATATACATTGTTACTCTACATCAGAAACAAGGATTACAACTAAAAGAGAGCAACTGAAAATGAAACTCAACTAACTACTCTATAGCTGTAAAAATAGAAAGGCCAGGTGGCATTAACAGAAAAGCCAGGAGGCATTGAATGAACTAACTATACTAAGCCTTGAGTTGAGTCTTGGGCTTGAGTCGAGTCTTGTGCGCTGATACCCCCCACAAACTGGGCTATGAATGTCATGAATACCCAGTTTGGAGAGAAGTTTCCGTAACAGCATTGGAGGAAGAGGTTTCGTAAAAAAATCTACTAACTGAGCATCAGATGAAATTGGTAACAAATGCAACCGACCAGAATGAATTTTCTCACGAGTTACATGGCAATCAATTTCAATATGCTTTGATTTTTCATGGAATATAGGATTATGGACAAGAGAAATAGCAGATATGCTGTCACAATACACTGTTGCAGGGCGAGTCCAGGGGATGCCTAAGTCTCGAAGAAGGAATTGTAGCCACTGTAATTCACAAGTTAAACTGGCTAAGGCAGGGTATTCGGCTTCAGAAGATGATCGAGATATCGTAGCCTATTTCTTAGAGCGCCAAGAAACTAACGAAGATCCTAAGTAAACACAGTAGCCTGTGATTGATTTTCGAGATTCAGGACATGACCCCCAATTAGAATCAGCAAAGGCACGAAGGCTGATATCACTTGATGCACAGAAGAATAATCCAGCAGCTGGAGATCCTTTCAAGTAACGCAATACACGATGAGCTGCTTGCAAATGGATATCCATTGGCTTAGATACAAATTGACTGAGACGATTAACTGAGAAAGAGATGTCTGAGCAAGTGGTTGTGAGATAAAGCAGTTTTCTTATTAATTGTCTGTAAGCAGTAGGATCAGCAAGAGTTGTGAAGAATCCATAGGAGCGGAGACAGGTTTAGATCCAAGGAACCCGGTTTCTGCTAAAATTTCTAGCGTGTATTTCCTATGATTGATAATGAGACCAGTTGAAGAATGAGCGATTTCTGGGCCAAGGAAATATCGAAGAGAACCAAGGTCCTTGATTTTAAATTGAGCATCCAAGTAGCCTTTGATTTGTGTGATTTCATTGAGATCATTGCCACATAATACTATATCATCAACATAAATCAGCAAGGCTGTAAATGAAGATCCCCGAGAAACAGTAAATAATGAATGATCAAAAGTAGATTGGTTGTAACCAAGAGATAACAGTGCCATTGAAAGTTTGGAATGCCACTGACAGCTGGCCTGCTTGAGACCATACAGGGACTTTTGTAGACGGCAAACCTGATTTGGTCGAGAGCAAGGAAGTCCAGGAGGTGGAACCATGTACACTTCCTCATGGAGATCACCATGAAGGAAGGCATTGTTCACATCAAGTTGTTGAAGATGCCATCCTTTAGCTACTGCCACTGAGAGAAGGACCCGAATGGTAGAAACTTTGGCAACAGGTGAGAATGTGTCAAAATAGTCAACACCTTCAAGTTGAGTGAATCCTTTTGCTACCAAACGTGCCTTGTACCTCTCTATGGAACCATCCGCATGGTATTTGATTTTAAAGACCCATTTGCAGCCAATGAGATTCTTACCAGGTGGCAAGTCAACAAGGGACCAAGTTTTATTGTGCTCAAGTGCTGCTAGTTCAGATTTCATTGCTTAGAGCCACTGTGGATGTTTACTGGCTTGGGTATAAGTCTGAGGCTCAATATTAATAGAAACATTAAGGCAAAAATGTTTATACATGGGAGAACATTGTGAGTAAGATAAAACTTGAGATAAAGGATATAAGGTGGAAGAAGGAAGAGAAGATGTACCTGACTGAGACTGATTTATCTAGGCAGCAAGTAGCCCAACATGATAGTCTTGAAGATAATGTGGGGCTTGTCTAGTTCTGGTTGATCTTCGAAGAGGATTCTCTGGTATGGTATTTGCTAGTGGTACTTGAGTAGTTGGATTAAAGCCAGTGGTATGGTAGGATTTGGTGGAGGGGCAAGGGTTGGTGGAAGGTCATAAGTGGGTAAAGGTGTGGAAATGGAAGGTGTGTTAATGTCATGAAAGGGAAAAATTTCTTCAAAAAATACGACATTACTTGAAGTGTGAATTTGATGAGTAAGTAAGTCATATACAGTGTAACCTTTAGTTCCTGGTTTATAACCAATGAAAGCACATTTGTGGAATATAGGTGAGAATTTTGAGCGATGAGCAGATATGGTTGAAGCAAAATATAGGCAACCAAATACACGTAAATGATCAAAGGTGGGTGGAGTGCCATGTAAGGTTTGCTATGGAGTTGAATTGTTCAGTAAGGGTGTGGGTAGCATGCAAAATGGTATATGGCCAAAGAGATGATGGGAGTTTGGCTTGAAAGAAGAGGGAACGGGCCACATTCAGTAAGTGCTGATGTTTCCTCTCCACACCACCATTTTGCTGTGGTGTTTCTACACATGTGGTTTGATGAATAATACCTTTTCTAAGGTAAAAATATTTCATTACGAACTCACTGCCATTGTCACTTCTAATGACTTTGAGGGAGGTGTTAAATTGGTTTTCAATAAGGGCAACAAAGTTATGGATATGTTGTCGAGTTTTACCTTTAGCTTTCATAAGGATTACCCAAGTGAACTTTGAGAAATCGTCCACTAATGTTAAGAAATATTTTTCACCATGAATTGAAGGCAAGGAGCATGGCCCCCAAATATCAGCATGCAGTAAGTCAAATGGTTTATTTGATTTTGTATGGCTAGGTACAAATTGTAATTTCTTCTGTTTAGCTAGGAAACATACATCGCAAGGGTTTATAGAATTTTTAAAAGAAATATGTGGAAAACAAGTGGACATCTGCTGCATTACTTGTTGAGAAGCATAGCCAAGTCGACGATGCCATAAGATTGCAGCTTTGTCATTATTATTTGACTTTGAGACAACATTGCAGTGAGTACATGCTTGATGGTTTGGTCTTTTGGTGTCTTCAGAGACTATCACATATAGGCTATTTTGTTGCTCATCTAAACCAGTATTCATTCTGGTATGGGGCTGTTGTAGAAAACAAGAGGAACCGTGGAATATTAGTGAACAATTGGTATTCTGCAAGAGTTTGCTAACATAAACCAAATTAACAGAAAAATTGGGAACATATAATACATTTGAAAGGGTTAAATGAGGAAAAATGTGAATTGTTCCAGAATGTGTTGCCAATACATAATGGCCATCTGGTAACATAACAGAAATGGGTTTGATTTTCTGTAGGAATGAAATTTTAGATAATTCATGAGATTTATGATCAGTGGCTCATGTATCAAGAAGCCACTTGATTTGAGATTTACCTGGTTGGTTCAAAAGATTGGATGTATCTGCTTCTACCTGTGCGGCAGAAACTTGAACAAGGTTTAAGTAATGTGCATTGATATTGGTATCTTGTGTTTGTGTTTGTAGGAGGTTCAGTATTTGTTGGTATTGGTCATGTGATAAGGTGGGAGGATTGTTTGTGGCTTGTTGAGAATTTTCTTGGTTAATGCCTTTATATGAGACTTCAACATAATGAGCATTATGATTGAATCTACTTCTGTATCCTGGTGGAAAACCATACTTATGAAAGCAGGTTTCCACTGTGTGGTTTGTCCGGTCACAGTGTGTGTAGAGCTTACCACCATTGTTTGGTCCTCTTCCAAAGATATTGCCACGGCCGCGTCCTCGTCCATAAGTGTCTGCTCTATGGAAAACTTGAGTAGCAGAGTTAGCAAATGCATTAGTTGTATTTGTAGATGATTCAAGAACA